TGGAGTTTCAAGTTCTTATTATTATTTTTTAAATTTTTTTATTATTTAAAGTTGAAAGAATCAATAATTTTGCATATAACAAAAAATAATACTAACAATATATGTTTAATATAAGTAACATGTAATAGCTTACTAACCATTGAGTGATAGAGAGTGGAATTGGATATATCTTCATACATGTTAGAAAGAAGATACAACCTTTCAACCATAAGAGTAGATGTTGGATGAGCATTAAATAATTTAAAAGTCATAGGTATCTCCTGGAAATATCTTCATTAAGACATAAAAGTTCCTTAAACTTCTACAAACTCTATCTTGAGATAGAATACAACCAAATCATCATTCATCTTACTAATTTTTAAATATTTTTCTAACAATGTTTTTAATTTGTGGAACGTTTTTAGAAAACTACTTATAAGAAGAACATAATTTACATATAATATTATAAGAATGATTTTTCTGTCCAAAAAATAGCAATATAGACTAAAATTATGAATTCTTTGAAAAAAATCTAATTCAATAAGAAAATATATTTTTATTTTATACCATGTATTTAGAAATTTTTATACTCTATAAAGAGTCTTGAATAATTTACATACTAATATTTTTTGAGTAAGAATTCTAAAACCAAGAAATTGAGGAATATATATTTTTTCTTTGAAGTGACTATGTAAGATTTTTGTTTTAATATTTAAGCATTAAATTAGATATTGATGTTTAAAAAATTTACATATTAAGGCTTGTAATGTACTTTTTTTTTTAAAAAAAAAATTAAATTTCTTTAAGCATCCTATTTTTTAAAATATGCACCTAATAAAAATTAAATATTTATTGTATAAAAGTTGAATAAACTTTCTTGTTTCATTTATATAAATAGATTTAATATGTTTTTAGATTGATGCTATCTAATTTTTATAATTCATAGCTTTTTAAAAATAATAATAATTTAATGGACAAGGCCAAAGTATCAGCAAAGTTGTGTTGCATCAATGTTAAAAGTTATTGGCATATTGATTTATTTGCTTTTATATTAAAAGAATCTAAAAGAAAAGAAAATCTTAAAGATTATAAAGATTTAAAATTAAAGATTTTAAAGATTATTTTTAAATTTTATCAAAGAGCAATCTAATAGATTGTAGAAGACATTAAGTTATAATAGATTCTTTCTTGACAATTAATATAGAGTAGGTCATATTCTGTGATAAGAATCACATGGTAACAAGGATGAACTTGGTGGACTTTTAGTATTAGTAGGTTTATTTTTGGTTTAGATTGCAGGTATAAAATTTCTATGTTTAGGTTATTTTTAAAAATTTTAAATAATACTATCAACGAAAAGATAAATACTTCTAACTTTTCTTGACAAGTAAGCTAGACAAGATATAGAAAATATAAAATGTTCCATGTGAAGATTTCATAGATATGCAATATTTGGAATTTTTTTATTATATCATTGTTCTAGATACTAACAATTGATTTATGAGTAAGTTTTGATGATTATATGATTTTTTTTTTTCTTATGATTTCTTCTTTTATCTTTGATAGAGGTCTAAAATAATTGAATTCTTATTAGATAAAAAGTCATTCCATAAGAAACTTTATAAGTCTTAGAGACAAATATCTTACTTGATTTAGTGTAATTTGTTAACTATAATAATTAGTATTTAATTACTAAAATAAATATCTTATATGGTTTTTTAATTATATATATCATCTATTAAAATCTTATAAACTTCAATTAATATATAAAAGAATCATAAGAAAGAAAAACCATTATATTTTAATTATCTATATAGAAAATAAAAAATTAGTTGATTTAAATTATTTTGATTACTATAAAAGATCAATAAGATAGGTAAAAGTAGCTTTTATATTAATATTAATATTTTAAAAATTTTAGAAGGTTTCTAGAATTTATTTGAAATTTTATAGGAAGTTTTAGAGGATATTTTTAAAATAGTTATAAAAATCATTTTATTACTTTAGAAGGCCATTATGAAGAATTAAAGCAAGGTTTATAGGATTTATTCAACATCTAAATTGATTTGGTATTTTAAAATACCATGGTGAAGTCAAAATTATAAAATAAAATATTTTTTGTTGATAAAAAAACATAGTAATCAGAAATTCAAGTAATACTTGAAAGAAGAAAGATGTACATGCCTCATTTGGATGTAGCACGTTAGATATAGGTAGGACGATAATACTGAGGCCTTGTGGCCCCTCTATAACACTCTTCTCACTACTTTATGAGCCTTGGTGAGTTTCAAATCTTTGATCTCTTAAGCAAATTATCCTTATAATAAGTTTTATTTATTTAAATTTTCTATGTTTTTGCTACCTATCATAAAAACTTCTTAATTTAGTTTTAGAAACTTTAATTTATATATTATTTATATCATTAAAAATAAAAATAAAAATATTATAAAAAAATAATTTTTATCTTTTATTTTTTATTAAGTAAAAATATATTAAACAAATTGGAATAAATTTTTAGAGTGTGTATTAATTTGATTGTATTTTTTTTTTTATTTATCTCTTGTTGGTTGTACCTCTTATTTTATACCCCCAATTACAAGCAACTTTTAAGCAAGGACATTTTGTAATTTGAGTTGATAGATGAAATTGTTTTTTTACTTGGTAATAGGAGATTGTACTAGAAGTGTGACTAAGAAGATGTCTATATAGACAAAAAAAAATATATTATAAAATAAAAAAGCTTATATAAAAATATGTGGTTATTTTTTCTATTTTATAAAAAATTATTTATAGAAAAAATTATTTGAAAACTAATTATTTAATCTTCTTTCTACAATAATTTAAAGGTCTATTTATACTTTTTTCTACATTAATATTAGATAAAATTTGACTAAATTATAATAGATATTGAACTTAATTAGGATTTAGTTAATTAATATCTACCAATATCTTATAATAGAATTTAGACTTATGATAATTCTAATTACAATTGATCAACAAAATGCAAGCATTTTCATCATTGGTACTAACAACTATAATCAATCTTTACTTATTAGATGTGAATTTTTTCGAAGACATTTATTTACCATAACAATATTAGATAAAGTTAACAAAGTCAAGTTTAAATATAATTATTCTTGCAATTTCAATACTAATATTATTATTATTATTATTATTATTATTTTATCTAATCTATCAACCATATTGACTTGCAATCATCTATATGTCTTTATGTAGAATCATATGTAAAAAATAAAAAAAATTAAATGCCACTTTACTTTATGTTGTTAATATCACATCAATTACATCAATTATTTTATCTTAATTTTTTATTTCTTAAAAAATAAAATAAAATAAAAATTATATTTTAATATTAAAAAAGATCAAAAGACTATTTATAAATAATATTTTTCTTTAAATTATTGTAATTAATAGAGAACTTTCACTCATAGCGACTATATAATATATTTTTTTTATAATTACAAATCTACTTTATTTATGACATATCAACCAAAACAACCTTTCACATTGCAAATAAGGTTTTTTTGTAGATAGTTGGGTGACATTCATATATCATTAAAAAGTTGTTATTATAAGATGATTATATGAAGTTTTTGAATATAAATAGCCATAAGCTATATATTAATAATTTGAATTCTTTTAAAGTAATATTTTATCAAAGCATCGTTCTTCTAATACCTTTATTTTGAAAACATCAATACTTCACAAGTTGAAGGCATTTATGAAAAATGAAATATGTGGTTATAAATATCTATGATAGACTTTTATGATATTTATAAATAGATAATAATGTATGTAGGGCATCAAAAGAATGAGTTGCAAGATAAAAGTAATAATGAAAGGATACAAATTTAGCTTAATTTGAAAGAGAGTTTTTATTATCTTAAGATTAAGTAATAAACAAAATCTCAAGGCTTTTCTAATAGAGGTTTATAGATTGATGTTTGTTTCAAAGAAAGAATATAACAATGAATTAGTTTGCATTGAATAGTTTATAATAAATTTCTAACATTTTGCTAGTCTTCCAAAAATCTAATAAAGTATTTTTTTTCTTAGACCTAGATCAACAATTAAAAATATACTTTACCTTGATGGATCTTTATTCTCAAAGGTATTGAGCTTCAAATAATTCTACCAAATAATTTACTAAAAGATGTTTGTCTAATGTCCTTAATCAAAATCAATCACAATTATCTACACAATGTGATTTTTCAATGTTTGAAGTTGTAGATAGATAGAAAAGAAGATGTAGGAGGTATAGGCAAGTTGGACATAACATAAAATCTTATTCAAGTTTGTGAGCATCAAGTAGTTAAAATTGATTGTAGAGACAATGTCTTTAATAATACTAACTTATATATATTGGAAGAAGATATATTTAAATTAAAATTAGATAGCAATAGCTTGAGTATTTTGTAGATATTAAAAAAGTGACTATGAATTTTAGAAGAAAGTGGATGCTAAAAGATTGTTGAAAGGTATCAATTTAACACTCAAGGATGTCACATTAATAAAATCCTATATTAAAACTATATATAATAAATGAAGAAGTCTAGAAGTTAGGATGTTGTACTTTATTGTTGTTAAAGTATGGACATTTAATTGAAGAAGATAAGTAGGAATAATTTTACAAAAATTCAAAATCCTTATCAAAGTTTTACATATAAAGAAAATTGGTTAAAATAGAAGTAATTTTTGATACATTTACTAGATTATAATGGGTGACAGGTATTGACGCCCTTATATTAACTAGGTTTGGCGCTGGTAGTATTTAAAGCGAGAACGCCTCGAGGGTTACAGGTTGTTGCCCCAGAAATACAACCTGTCGGTACAGAGCGCCACATTCATGTGACTTTTTTTAAATGGTTCGGTGACTTTTTTTAAATGCTTCGGTTACTTCTTTTAAATGGCACAGGAACCATTTAAAAAAAGTCACCGCGAAGGTTGGATAGCACGCAGGAACCATTTAACATAATCGTTCAAATTAGTTGGCCGTGGAGATGCATTGAGATTGCATAGAGGAACCACCAACAAAGTCTCTGGAGGTGGATCAGTTGCAGCTGGGTGACGGAATGGTGACTACGCGATCAGATGGATTGCCTAAGAGAGACGCCTCTACATGGACAGATCGTCCCTGTATCGATGTCTCTCTTAGCCAATCATGCTCGTCGCGTAGGGCCAGAGTATCTAACGTCCGCCATAGAATGGCCTGAGAACCGTGGCGCAGATGGAAAGTATCCCAAAGGTTACAAGCTGAACAATGGCTCCCACATCAAGGCGGTCAATGGGACCTTCATCACAGCCTCTGGATGTGGATCACCTGCGGCATTGTGACGGATCTATGTCTACGTTAATGATGTGTCTTCCATCTTGCCCCGTTAACTTAGAGGTAGAGGGATGCGCTTTGAGGTTTCAAACAATGTGTAGTTTCTGATAATGTGGTTTCGGACAATGTGTAGTTCCTGATAATGTGGTCTCGGACAATGTGTAGTTCCTGATAATGTGGTTTCGGACAATGTGTAGTTTCTGATAATGTGGTCTCGGACAATGTGTAGTTTCTGATAATGTGGTCTCGGACAATGTGTAGTTTCTGATAATGTGGTCTCGGACAATGTGTAGTTTCTGATAATGTGGTCTCGGACAATGTGTAGTTTCTGATAATGTGGTCTCGGACAATGTGTGGTTTTTTCACAGGTATCCTGGACATCCGCTAGGCGACTCTCTACCGACATCACTGCAGTAGAATCATGGAGATGTGCGTACTTTGGCCCTTGTTCCGCATTCTTCATCTCACTGAACTCCACATCACTTCAGTAATCAGCATTGCCTCCAGAAAGAAATTTGCCTCCAGGCTCTCCACTTGCAACTTGCTGTTCTATGGGTGCAAGCTAATATTGTACTCCGGTAGTCTATGATAGATGTCTCGCAAGACATTCACTTGTGTGTTTAGATAGACCAGGTTACTGTGCAACCCTTCAATCTGTGTATCCAGCATTGTCAACACTTTCACGATTGAATAGTTTCCACATTCTTCTATACTAGTTGTTCCCTTTATTAGAGGCTCTGACTATGTCCTCGTCTCTCTTGGCCAACTAGCTCTCTCGCGTAGGGCCACATGCAGACCTGCGGGAAGATCACCTCCAGCAGCATTTGTTTCAATCGTCTCCTCATTAAATTAGCCATGGAAGATTGTGCTTTGAGATTTCTAAACTTGCTTCTGACATTATGCAGCGTTCTCCAGAGGTATACAGAACAGTCGCTTGGCGACGCACTACCAACATCACTGCAGGAAACTCACAGTGACTTATGCTACGTACAACTTATTATTTGCATGCATATGTGCTACATCCGGCTTGTTGAACTTTTGGTCATTACTCGGATCAAACGAGTTTCATATTTGATTTGTAAAGAGTCAGAATTATGTTACCTGTTGGACAACGAGAGCAGACCTTCATAGAGTGAGATGGGAGGGATTGTAGATTTGATAACTGTGGAGCAGCCCTAATAAGACGCAAATGGTTGTTGTGGTTGGAGATAGCTTATCTAGTATTAACAGAATGCGTGTCTGTTTCGGGCTTGGGTACATTTGATTATTACTTTTGGTTATTCTACCTCTTCTACAAACTGTATGTACACGTTCCCCCACCACAAATTTACCTCCGCGGCAATCCCCTCACAATTTCACAATTGCGTTGACTCTTTTCATAACAAAAGATATCATGCTTCTTGCAGCAAACAGTCAATCGAAACCAAGTTTAGCACCGTAACTAAATTGACTGATAGTTGGAAGTATTTATGAATAGGTAGACAGTCTTCATCGTATCCGCGCATGTCCGTACTTCTCTGATTCAGCAAAATCTACACGGTGGACGGTAAGGTAAGTAGTGTGACGGAAATCTATAAGGAAGACTGACTTCTTTAGAACCAAAGAGCGGGGAGGTAGGTGCAACCATTCTTGCAGACTTCTTTGGTAACTTATGATACTGTATTTCTCCGATCATACATCCAAGACCTCACCAATTTCATAACTAATCTGGCAAAATTCCTTGTATAAAATCTGTTTTAAACCATCCGTGCCATCTACATCCTTCTACCCCCATCAATCATTTAATATGTGTTATCCAGCTCACTCTCTTCAACACTCAACGTTCAACCTTCAATATTGTAATATCAAAAAATGATATAAGAATCTGTAACAATGACAATTTTTCCTTCTCTTTTTTGGGATAGAAAGTGCAATAAAAACGTGTTAAAATCACAATCTCTGTTTACTGGCATAAATCAGCATACCTACTCCATTTAATGGTATCCTAAATATCTTTTTATAAAAATACCCATGAAAATCTTATGAATGATCTCAATAACTAGGTGGATTTTTCACATGCATGAAGATTATTATTCATATTTTAAAGCGATTGTTGGCCTGCTTAAAATATACAAATCATTATTTTTGCATACATCATTTAAGTTGCTTTATACTCTATCTTTTTATAGAAACTTAGAATCTTATTAATGTTCTTGAAACTTGTATTATTCAGAAAAATATATAGATAAATTCCATCATCATTGAGATATACTAAAAGTTTCAAAATTGAGGGATAGACCTATAAAAGTTAAGTAGTTATATGAATTCGTCTTAAATGTTTTATGGATTTACAAAGCTAATGTAGAAGTATCTTACGACTTGGATATTTTTTCTTTAAACTTTATAATTTTTAGAATTTTTTTACATAGCTTGATTATTAGCTAATATTTACAAACAAAAGATTATAATTATTTATAAACTTATCAATGCTTCTTTTATACAATAGTCTAAATTAAATATTTAAAAGAGTTTTTATTTAAATTTTATTATATACATATTTATATTTAATATAGATTATAAAAATATATTATTTCTTAAATTAGTAAATGTATTTTTTTCTCAAATCAATAAATGAAAAAATTAAATATTGTGGCTAAGACGAATTTAAACCATAAAACATTTTAGACGAAACATTTAAGATGAAATGGTAAGCTAAACCATCTAACATAATGCTATTAAAAAAAAAAATTAAAAATAATAACTATCATATTAAGTACCAGTAGTATATATATATATATATATATATATATATATATATTATATAAATTATTATTATCTTTGATAGAAACTTTGTAGGTAGATATTAATAAATTATACTAATTATTAAGTTTTTCTTATTAAAAAATTTAAATTTGTTCTTCAGAAGTTAGACTATTTATGAATAATTCTTAGAATTTGAAACACGCTACATTTGTATATACACATATAAAATTATAATTATAGTCCATTAAGTAATATGTATTGTCTTTATCATCATTCAATATCTATTATATAATATATATCATAGATTTTTGTAATTTTATTATGTTAATTTAGATATAGATCGGTTCAAATTAAAAAAATATTAGACTTAAATATACTTATATTTCTTAAAGAATATAATATAATACTATGTAAAAAAAAATACCTTATATTATATTTTTGTATAATATGTAAACATATTTAATATAATAATATGTCTTCTGAACCTAAAAATGCATATAAAATAATTTAATACAGGATAAAAAAATAAAATAATTTGATGACTTTAGTAATTTGTCAAAATGGTATAAAGAAGCATATTCATAATAAAGAAATAAAAAAAACTAAATTTAAATAACCTATATATAATTTAATTCAAGAACTAAGTTTTATTTTGAAATTAATTTTTTATTATTTATATATAAATTTTACATAAGAATATGAATTAATAATATGTTATAGATTCTTTTTACTTTATTTTAATTTTCTTAGAAAGATTGAGAAATATATAGATTAAAATAATTAAATTAAAAATATCTGTCTAAATAAATATATATATATATATATATATATATATATTAAATATAAATATGTATATAATTTATTATGATTCTTAAATTATTCCATATTATTTTAAAAAAATAAAAACATAAGATTAAATATTTTTTTAATAACTAATTAGTTTTTTTTACAAAAAATCTAGACTTATTTGGAAGAATCAAATGTACAATACTTGTGTTTATATATTACATGTGTCTTAAATATTATATAAATGCAAACGACTTAAAGCTGTTTTATTTCAAGTAATATATTTTTATTTTATTTTTGTGATAATAAATTTATTTAATAGATATTAATAATTATATAGTAACTTTAAAAGAAAACTATGTCAAATATCTATTCTATATTATTATAAAAATCATATTTCTAAAGTATTAAAGATATCAAGTTTATTTTAATAACCTGAAAAATATCCAAATACTTAAATTAGTGACAAAATTTCAATTTTAAGAAGAAACGTTTTTATCTCAAAAGGCCATTGCACATATCTCATATTTCTTAATTATATTTTTATATAAGTTTTAAAACATTTAAAAATATAATTAAACAAATAAAGTATAACAATATGCATTTACAATGAGATAATATTTTTTTTATTAATCATGACTTTGGTTTAACAATTAGAGCTAATGATTTTTATTTTATTTTATTTATAATTGTGATTGGAACTCACATAAGTATAAAGGTAATTATAACCAATTCTCTTAAATATTACTACAAACAATTAAAAAAAACATTAAATATTAGACACAAAGTATTTAAGTAGAATTAAACATAAATCATTTATAAGAAATGATATATTAATTAGTAAATACTATTGGCCTTACAAATATTTATGTATTTTTTGTAAAATTTGAACATTTTATAATCTTTCTATTAGTTACTATTTAAAAAGTTTTAAATAAAAATAAAACGTAATGAAATTCATTTAGCCTTATAATGTACTAGTTACAACTTAATATGGAAAAATTTGATTCTAAAATATTCATAGCCATTATTACAAGTATACTTTATTTTCTATCTCTTAGTTCTTCATATTAAGAAATTAATTATCTTTATGATTGAATGTTTGGTAATATAAGTATATATTTCTAAATTCACTAATTTCTAATTTCTAGTTAATATTATAGTTAATCAAGTTTTAGTATTTTAATGAAATATTTTCAACCATATTAAACTACTCTATATTAATTCTTTACGTTTGAAGCTTCAACAGTGTTAGCAGAAAATAAATAAACAAACAGATCTTCTTGGGATGGAAATAGAATGGCAATGGCACTATATTTGCATAAAACTCTCTCGTTGGATAATGGGTTTTATTTTATATAGCACAAACAGATTTTACTTTACATAATAGCATGTGACAAAACCAGATGTAGATTGAAAACTTACTTATGTCAGAGCTAATGGTCGCTTTCTTCATTTCTCAGTTATAAACTTCAAATACCAGTAAAGAGGATTATTCAAACTATTAAAAGAATTGTTATTTTTGTATTATGTTTACTGAAATACTCGAAATTTCTTTATATAGAATACCTGAAGACACACTCCTTGTTTTACAATTAAAATATCTCAAAGTAAAAAAGTGAAAGGATCATTGAGAAAGACGTTTCGAAGATATACACACGTAAAAATAATTACATTTTTAAAGAACCATTCATAAATAAATAATGAATTTTGTAGTAACCTCAGTTTTATAATTAGCAGTTGGAAACAAAAATTCCTTGAACACGTGTGTCAATATATATATATATATATATATAGACACATAGACAGACAGACAGACAGACAGACGGACAGACAGACGGACAGAAAACGATGATAAATCAACCCGTTAGTGACAAAGAATATTTGAGTTTTGTATGAAATGGTTATTACAAATGTTCTTCTATTTTGACATCAGAATGAAATCAATCCACATTTAACATTTCAATATTCCAATATCTCGAGCACCATTCAGTCAAGAATTCAAAGTTTTCATTTTTTGAAAGAAATCCAATGATCCAGAACTTCTTTCATTGGCTCACTTAAAATGGAGCATTTACGTTTTGTACATTTATTAGAAAATAACCCATCTTGATAATCAATAACATGAAATCTAGTCATAGCGTAGGAGTGAAACCCATCCATGACTTCTTCTTTTCCGTTTACCTTCTCCTCCATTTTCACGGTATCAAAACTGTTGATTTTACCATCTGATGCACAGTCAACCACCTTTTTAATGGTGGACATGTCTTATTTGGTTGCAACTCATTAGAAACATGTCCACCAAACTCTTAGGGACACGTTGTGTACATATGACTTCGCGTTTTTCTTCTTCTCTGTAGTAAGGGTTATCTCATTCGGATGACATGAGGTTGAAAAGAGCAACACAAGTTTTATTAAGATAAAAATAAAAAATAAAAAGAACATTTTAACAAATGTCAAAAGCACTCTTTGATTTCTGGCTGCTGCAGAGCTGAAAATAAATATACGTGATGATTCGCCAAAGGTTTGACGTAGTTTACAAACGCCGGCTTTAAACTCCAAACGACCACATCAACAAGACACAGGTATATAGCGTCAAAGTCTTCAGAACTGCTAGTTTAATTTTCCATCTAAGGTTACAAGCCTGTCCATGAGATGGGATTAGCCCCAACAACAAGTGCCTTAATGGGCATGAGTTTTGCCAGCGTCAGCTTGCATCAATCCATTCCTGATCTGGTCTGCCACATCACGAGCTCCGCCAACACCGTGAGGAATGAATACCGTGGAGTTCTTCGAGTGAGAACCGATATCCCTCATCGTGTCGAAGTACTGAGTGACCAGCACCATATCCATGACCTCCCTTGGTGTGGTCCCAGGGACGTTGTCAGAGAACACCATGACACTCTCCCTCAACCCATCCACAATAGCTTGTCTCTGGCGAGCAATACCCACTCCTGACAAGTACTTAGATTCGGCTTCAGCCTCGGCCCGCTTCACCTGCAAGATTTTCTCTCCTTCTGCTTTCTCTAGTGTTGCTAGTCTCATCCTTGCAGCTGGTATTTAGAAAGCACATCAAAGAGATTTTAAGACCACATGCGCGGAAACAAAAACCGTCGTTGGCGAACAACACAGCGATACTCAGTTCCAGAAACGCAATTCACACACAAATATCTATTGTTAAGGATGTCTGATAGCCAATATGAGGTGTGGAATTGTAAGATATCGAATTTATATCAATGAAGTTGACTTTGAATATATATATATATATATATATATATATATACCTGCATTGATTTCGTTCATGGCACGTTTCACAGTTTCGTCCGGCTCAATATCCACAATCAGAGTTTGAACAATCTCGTACCCATAAGTCTTCATTGACTGAAATCATGCACAAACGAAAAAATTAGGATTACTGATTATGATAGAACTTCTTCAAAAGCCTAGAGGATGGTTGCGTTCTCTGAAGGTGAGTATTGACTAGACTCTTTCCATCCCCGTACCTTCTCCAGTTCCTCCTTCACGCTGTTGGCAATCTCGTTCTTCTGCTCGAATACGTCGTCCAAAAGCAATTTCGGAACGGTTGCTCTCACAACTGGCAGCACAATTTCATATCAATGCCAGAATGAGCAAAACCAGGTTGCAGAGTCTCCCGGTTCCAGCACTATCAGCGTAATTTTTCACTTTATAGCACGGTCAAGCCGTCCACAAATATTTATGAAACACGTGAGTACATCAGCCAGTAGAATGAAGGTATATTGATTTACCAAGAACAGCCCGGCACACGATCCTAGATTATCACTTACCATCGAATACATACGCCTTGATCTGCTCCCGAGGATTCGTCAGCTTGTAAAACGCATCCTTCGCTGTCTCCGTATGACATCGATACTGGACAGAGGCAACCAGCGTCACGAAGACATTGTCCTAGAAAGCCACACGAGCATAACAAAGACATAACATGTGAGCTTCCCGCATTCTAAACGACAGGAAGATGGTAAAAGTTTTCTGGATTATACACAAAAAAATATAAAAATAAAAACACATTTTACCAGATTCTAAGCCACCAGCTTGTTTCTCTAGAGAGGGAGGAATAAGAATTTCTCACCCTTGACTTTGTTTCACAGCGAACATCGAGCTGCTGCACCCGAAGAGACAAAATGCCTGCAACATTGATACCAATGCACCAAGGTACGCAATGGCAACCAGGACCTATGGTGCCCGTGTATCTACCAAATTGCTCCTTCACAGCTACAGTGGATTGGTCCACACAAATCAACCCCAGTGTTTGCCCCATCTGGATCGAATTTCAGTTTCTCTGCATTATGAGTGCACATGAGATATAGACCAAAAAGAAGAGGGGGAGTAATAGCTCAATTGGCAGACAAATGATGTAGCAAAGTCTACATGAAAGTCCTTAAACTACAAATCCCAACAGATTAGAATGAACATAAATCCGAGGCTCAACACAAAAGGAACATATTAGCATCGACAGGTTAAATAGCCTTCGTGGAGAGACCCACTCACCTATCAACTTTGAGGCCCTAACACACTCAAAAACACTCTCCCTACACCACCGCTTGTGAGATTTGTTACATACACGCCTCAAACTCAAGCGGGGACTACCGCAAATATGAAAAAATCCACCACACGAACTTCATAAAGCCCCACAAGTCTCAATTCAATCCAACAAGGATTGTAGCGTTGAAGCTTCCTAACATCATGCGCATGAACAGAAGGGAAGAAGATAAAAAGAAAAAATAACGAAACAAAACAAGACTATATATTACACCCATTTACTCTGTTCTGCTCGATGGATTCAAAACACGCCAAGACATACCCTCTCCTCGCAGCATCACGAAAAACCCAACTCATATCTCGGGTCCTAATATCAAGACCAGAAAATCGCCGGGCTTCAACCTACCCTTGCAGAGTTGCTGTGCGCCAATCTCGGCTTCCGTGTTAAGAGCACCAACTTCGCCCCGCACTGCCAATGGGCAAACAGCTTAACTGTCTGACTATGAAGCGGCGATGCCCAAAGATGTGCGTACAGAATGGGTACTACTGGGTTTAAATCCTGGATGTTGCACCTGAGACAGCGAGCGATTGACCGGTGACGCGCGGGGAGCAGAAGTCTCTCCAGGCCACGCACGCAGTTCACGCGATCGCACACGATCGGACGGGCAATTTGTGCCAAAAAGGTGCATCTGACGGTGTCAGCTAGCTGGCTTCCGACTTGTCCTGGCTATTCCAGGCACTTGACAAGAGTTTCTGGGTTGCTACGACAGTCGGCAGGCTCATCTGTCCTCAACCCTGCTGTCAATGATGCTCCGAGATCTCAGGATTGAATCTCAACTACTGAACTTGGTTGGTGATTGCGATGTCGACAAGCTACGCCTCCACATCGCAGCCACAACTCACTCTTTTTGTCCAAGTCAAGCCTAGGTGTGATCGAGCTCGAGCTGGTGATCCTTCGCAGTATGGACCCTGAGCGGTGAAAACGCGACGGGGTTCACCGTGTGAGTGCTGCAATTTCTCTTGTGAGATTACGCTGAGTTGATGCTAGGCGCAACTACTGCGCAATCCACTATTGCACAGTATTTGCGCCTACTACGGAGCGGAATACTCACTAATATATATATATATATATAGATGAACTTATCCAGTGGAATACTGAAGGCACAAGGCGAGTATCACAAATATGTCTTCTTAGTCGGAAAATGGTGTCGGCATTGTAGTCGGAGAAATGACTTAGTGCGTTGCTAGGTGATGCACGGAACTCATTGCCAAGCTGCAGCAGCAGCACCTTGCGATGTTTCTGACTACAGCAAATCGCCGAGTCATTTCCTGTCGTAACAAGCACGTTTGTCCGATTCGCGGTCACGGGAAGCAAGTCGTGAAGGAAGTTTCGAGGCAATTATTAGTTTAAAATGTATAAAATCGAAAATGTTAACCTTACACTTTGGAGATAACAAAACCGCTCAGGAAAGTTTTCATTACCAAAGCTTTGTAAATCGAATGTGAATCGATGATATCTGAACTTTATACGGTAATAATACATCATGTATAATGAAACGTGCGTTGGTATTTAGATTGTAATGACCATCTATCCAAATAATCGTCAACGATGTTCAAGTCAACTTAATTAATGTCAATATTGTTCACTTATTTACTATCGGATAGTACATTGTGGTGACAGTATACAAGTACAAATGAGGTTTTTGTTTTTTTGTTTTTTTTTTTCAACTTTTATATTGTGCAACAAATGACTCTTATTTATTCATTTATTTATTTAATTTTTTGGCATTCAAAAAAAGGATCTATTGCATCAATAGAAAATGATAGAGATAACCCATCTTAGACCCTAATATTGTGCTAGGGTGGGCAGAAGAAGAAAAAAAATTTAGAAGAACTGATAATTGTATATCTTACATTTTTGGTTAGGCAATATCTAACAAATAAATAATCAAGCTGTTATGTCAAACAGTAGACTATCATCTAATTATATTTCATTTTTCTTTATCAAAAAAATTATTAGTTATTTAAAAACTATTTCATCTATCAGGAAAATTTATTTCTTTTTTAGTTTTTTAAAAAGAATCATAATATCTTTTCACATTGTCTTATTGGATCTGATAAAAACATGTTTATAAAAGATGTTCAGTGTAATTAATGTTCTATGCCTCTTCTTTTAAGAACATTGTATTTACTTTGATCCATGTGGTACAAAAATTGATTCTTCTAAAAAAAGACTCAATAACTCTAAATCTTTAAACTTTGAGAGAGGTTTGACTACAAAAAAGGCTTGTTGCCAAGAAACATGCTTTAGACTGATAATAATTATGTTTTAGACTGATAATAATTTTTTAAAACATTGTGATAATCTAATTTCAAATGCTTGTAATCTATAAATATTTTTAAAATATATTTAAGATTGATTTAAGAGATGGAATCTTCATATATATATATATATATATAGATACATATATATTTTAACCACTTATCTATATATGTGCCAAAAGATATTTTTTTAAATCTACAACTTTGATAAAAGACTAGATTTTAGATAGCATCTTTTATTGTCAAAAAAGTATCTACTTCTAAATTATAAATATCTATAAATCTTTAAATTTTATTTTTATGTAATTTTTTTCTATTAATTAAAAAGTAAGTAGAAAAAGATAGAATATAAGACTATTTATTTTGATCTAAGCTTAGTTAATTATTTTTCAATTCTAATTTTTATATACTATTTAAAATATGAAGTTACAAAATGACGTGGATTTAGATTTTTTTTTATTAATTCTCTATATTTAAAATTTAAATCCCAAAATAATTATATATTTAATTTTTCTAGCCAAAAAGCACTTATTATCCAATTAGTTATTAATGTAATAATTTTTTCTTCTAGGTCAATTATACTAAAGTATTTTAAAGATTTTCATTGGTAATATGAAAACCAAACTACTTTAATTTTTATAATAAAAAATATTCTATCTGTTAAAAATTACAAAATAATGAAGAATATAAATTTTCATAAAATTTTGAAAAGATAATATATCCATGAGTCACTAAGAAGTAAAAATGTAACTAAAAAAGACATAGATACAAAATAAGAAAAAATCAAAATAGTTGTTGCAAAATACAAAGAAACAAAATAGTTTTATATCAATAATAGAATATAAAAAAATACATCTCATCTAATTAAAATTTATATTAGTTATAAGAATTTTATACATTTTATATCAATACATGTCTTATACTATTGTTAAGTGTATTAAAATAAGCTTTTGTTGCAATTTATATATAATATTACAGATCTTTATAAAGAAAACAACAAGACTTACTAGATGCTTTGCCTATACATTTTTATCTTATACCAAAAGAAAGAAATGTTGTATACAATTAACAAAAAAATTATAAAAAAAATTAGAATAAGTAAATCTTTAAGCCATTAAGTTAATTATTTTAAATAACACTAATTTTTTTAATAAATATTATTTAATCATTTTAAGAAATATTTTTATTTATTTTATTAAAAATATTCTTCTTGATAATTTAAGAAAATTTGATTCCATGGACATCTTTCTTTATAGTAAAAGATATTTATATATTCTAAAAGATCAAATACATGAATTTCAACCACAACTTGACTTTCTAGCAATGGGATATTTTAGATATAACAAAACTTCAAAACTTGTCTTAAGAGATTTTTGGTAACTTCAAATGTAAAAAGTCGTTAAAGCATTTGTTAAATCTTATTGTGCATGTTCTTGAATAAAGACTCTATTATATTAATTTTATAGACTTATTCAACTTATTTTCAACCTACCAATCAACTACAAATACTTGTAAAGTCAAAGCTATGTCCAAAAAGCTTCTAAAAATCTCCTTCATAAGATATTATCAAATTTACTTAATTTTATTTTTACTTAATTCATCTCATTTTCTTAACTATTAATATCAATATTAATGTCTATGATATTATTTTTCCTTCTAAAAATAAATTCTACCTGAAATGGTAATAATATATATATATATTTTTTAAATGCAACAAATTATATTAACCACATACTTTGATCTTTATTATCTTTGAAAATAATTAATAGGTCAATTCAACTATCAATAGTTTTCTATACTAGAATAAGAAGACCACCTTGTTATATAATCATTATATCTAAGATATAAATTGCATAAAACCAAAGAGTAAATATAATCTTATACTACTAAAAATAATATATATATATATATATATATTCACTCAAAAGTAGTATAGTAATAAAATTAGAATGATTATTTTCAAGAAAAACAAATAAAATAAAGATTCTTGAAACAAGATTAAGAACAAGAAAGGCATTGACAAAAATAAATAAGGCTTCATTCTTGCTTTTATATATATTATCTATTTAGAAGCTATGTAGTGACATTCTATAGGACATCTAATATGTGTTCAAATTATAAGATAAGTTTCTTATATGTATCACATATGGCCAACTTATTGACCAAATTTTCAACCTATTAATTAAATATTTTTATAAATATAAATTCATATATTAGTAAATATCTATATAATTAGATAAAAGTATATAAAAGTAGATAGAAGTAGATTAATTTCATAAAACCTTCTAGAAAAGCTTCTTAGAAGCTTTATAGATGTTGTTTTGACTTTATATGTATTTATAACTGATTAATAGGTTAATAACTTGATCAACAAATTAACCATGTATTAAAAGCTTGTGAAATAAGCTTACTATGTGGCATACCTATCAAAAATTTGCCTTGTAAATTAAGATACATGTCTTGCAAAGTCAACACATTGTCAAGGACATGAATCTCAAAGAAAGAAAATCTTTAATACACTCTTGTATCATTGAAAAGAACTAGATAGTCACTTAAAGATGATATAATATTAAACTAAAATGCCTATTGCCAAAAACAAGCAGACTAGAAAGTCTTGGAATAAGACTAAGGACTAGAAAGACATTGACAAGAATGAAGAAGGCTTCACTCATGTCTCTATATATACTCTCTAATTAAGAGTTATGTGATAATATTCTATAAGACCTCTAACATGTGTTGAATTTGCTAGCCACATGTCTTAACTTACAAGGCAAGTTATTTTTGTGTGAGCCACATAGTTAGCTTGTTCTACAAGCTATTATATAAAATTAACTTCTTCTACTAGCTACCAACATGTCATTAACTTGTTTGTCAAGTTTCTAACCTACAAACACATTTATGGTTAAAACCACATCTATAAAGCTTTTAAGAAGTTTCTCTAGAAGACTTTATGAAATTAATTAATATTTACCTATTTCTACCTAATCATATAAGTAACTATTGGAGTACATATACATGTCCGTGACATTACCTCCTCTTCTAAGAACCTTCTAGGGATGAATTCCATG